TCTAGTATCAGAGGTTGAATGGTCTTGGAGAAAGAGCAGTTGAAACTGACTCGGTAGAAACTATTGGGTATTTTGATGAAAGGAATGCTATCTTCCTAAATGAGGAAGAGGAAGATGCAAAAAGATGAAAATCCAATGTCTGAAGAATCCAAAAGTCTTCAAGAATCAACTGAAAATTTCTCATATACTTTCATGCATGATGATGAAGATCCCTTGTCATCAGTCATTTTTTGCAGAGGATATGGGTTCCTCTGATGGTGGTCAGCTTGTCAGCACTTTGAATACTGCAAAGTGAATGCAAATGAGAAACTATATGAAAGTGAAGGATGCAAGCAAGTATTCTCTAAAAATAGTGTCTTGAAATACATGGATGCACATACCAAAGATGTGAGGTTTGCTGCAAGGCATGTTCTCAGAAACAACATGTAGAGTCCCATATGCGTACATATCTAAGAGTTAGACCATTCAACTGTGAGGTATACAAAAAGCCATTCACCTCTAAAAGTAGTCTTAACAAAGCACATGAGATTACATACAAAGGCGGAACTTTTTAGTTGTAAAATATGTAGGAAGGCATTCTTAGTGTACCATTATCTAGTTAACTACATGCATGTCCATTCAGAGAAGCCTTTTCCTTGTGATGTATGTACAAAGGTATTTGCTAGGAAAGATGACTTAACAAGACACATGAGAATACATACACATGAAAAACCTTATACTTACATGGTATATAGTAAATCATTCTTATGGAAGCACAGACTAGTGGTGCACATGAGGGTACATACAAAGGAAAAACTTTACAGTTGTGCCACATGTAATAGGAGAAATGTAAACTAGTGAGGCACATGAGAGTACTTGCAAAAGACAGAGGCTTAAGATTGTGAAATATGTAACAGAACTTTTAATCACCATATCACACAATCACACAAATATTTAAAGTCCTGTTTTATTGAAAGAGGTGTATTAGAGCATTTTTACAGAAAATAGCTTTATTAGTGCATATAACCTTAAATTCTCAATCCTTTGAAGTAGGTTGGTTGGAATATATATATTGCAGTGACAGAGTGCATGGACTTTGGTACCAGTTTCAAAACCTAGTCATGTTCGTTAAATCAACCACAAGGAAAACTGTAAGTTCTCAACATTGGGGGATCGTAAAGTGAACATGATCTATTTCATCAGCATAAGAATTTGTTGATAAATCCATTATGAACATGATTATTGTCTTTTGATAACCTTTTTTTGGTAATAAGTCTTTGCTTTAGAGTATTCATATATACACTATTATGTATATAAATGTCCTGCTGCACATGGAAAGTTTTGGAAAAGTGTTGTTTCCTTAACAGGTCCTTGGAGCCACTGCTCTAGCCTGAATGCATAGCTATAATAGGCATTTGTAGGTCATAATGACATGTTTTTCTCTTGTTTAACAGCTGTCCCCTATTTAAATTCTGGCAATTTGGATTGGTTCCTTACTTGAAGGTGTATTGCTTGAAAGGTCTACAAAGTGAGTCTTGCCAGAATACACATGATGATTTTTAAAAGCTGATTATGGCATTATCCTTCATTTGTTTGAAAGTTTTAACTCAATGCTGCCAAGTACATGCAGTGTCCATTATAGTATGGTCTTTACATGTAGATGGCTCCACAAGTGCTCAGCCACCAAGGATTAATGAGTAGACCTACATGAATTCACATGCTTTCCTCTTTCTTGAGTTTTTGGGAAAAAATGTAATGTTATATATATTCATACTGTTATCATTATCAAAATTATGATTATTATGAAGCTATTAATCCACATAAAAAGAAAAAAGAGGTGAAAAAGGTATTAGTAATTGAATCTTTTATGGTTAAGCATTTGTAGAGCCATCTATGTGCAAACACAAACTAAAATCACAGTAGATATGGCATATAAGTACAGGTACACAAAAAACTAGAACCTCATGTTACGGAAGGTTTGGTATTTTGGGTTTCAAATTTGTCTTGTTTTGATTCATGTCTGTAATAGTCATTCTGGAAGTCATATGGATTCACTGTGAGAAAATGATTTTATTCCCTTAAGGGATGGAATATACCTTGCAATATTCAGATAAACCACACATGTTCAAAAGTAGTTAGAAAATCAGTTTCGTACCATTAACAATTATATTTCAAAAAGTATCAGTGCTTGTGTCAGAATGTTTAGCATGATTTTCTAAAGACATTTTTCTATGTAGCTATACATGCCATCCCTATTGGGATTGGGTTAAGAATCATGAATAAGTGACAGTGAATGTGCAGTACAGGTACAACAGTATATATTGTATCATTATGAAATGATTCATTCTCTCATACATTTTTATACATTTTTAATGAACTTATACTATTTTGAAAACCTATCACTTTTTTTATCTTCATTTCTTTTCTTTAGCATTGCTATACTTTGTTATGATTTTCTCTCTTCCACAGCCATGATTGTAAATTAGTGAGTGACCAACTTCCATCATGGATGACTTAGGTATGGATACAAAAATACTTGACAACAGAATGGAATTCATTGCGGTTAAAGAAGAAGATACAGAAGAAAATGGTAAGGAGGAATTCCAGAAAATAAAGGAAGAAATAGTTGATAGTACAGATGAAGAAAGTACCATTTATACAAAAATTGAAACTGAAAATCCAGTGATCAAAGATGTCAGAAGTCTAAGTGAGAAAGCATTTGAAAATATTTCAGGAGAAACTATCGAGGCTTGTGCCGAAGACACTACTTTTTATATAAAGACCGAAGATGAATGTCTAGTATCAGAAGTTGAAGGTCTTAGAAAAAGAGTAGTTGAAACTGACTCAGTAGAAACTATTGGGCATTTTGATGAAAGAAATGCTATCTTTCTAAAGGAAGAAGAAGAAGGTGCAAAAGATGTAAATTCAATGTCTGAAGAATCCAAATGTCTTCAAGAATCAGCTGAAAATTGCTCAGATACTTTTATGTGTGATGAAGATCCCTTGTCATCAGAGTCAATTGTGGCAGAGGATATGTGTTCCTCTGATGGTGGACAGCTTGTGCAAGCACTGGAGAAAGTGAATGCAAATGGGAAACATATATGCGAGCAATGTGGTAAGAGATTCCCTTTTATGAGTAAGCTTTTGCGTCATATGAGTGTACATACAAATGAGAAACATTATAGTAATGAAGTATGCAAGCAAGTTTTCTCCAATAAAAATGGTTTCATAAAATACACGGACATACATACCAAAGATGATCATTTCACTTGTGAAGTATGTATTAAATCATTCTCTTCAAAAGATGAAATAATTATGCACATGAGAACACATAGAAAGGAGAAGGCTTATATTTGTGAGGTATGCAGTAAAGTATTATCTGGAAAAAGTGGTCTAGAGAAGCACATGAGAGTACACACAAAGGAGAAACCTTATAGTTGTGAGGTTTGCAGCAAGGCATTCTCTCAGAAACCCCATCTAGAATCCCATATGCGTACTCATCTAAAAGTTAAACCATTCATCTGTGAGGTATGCAAGAAGCCATTCTCCTGTAGAAGTAGTCTAAGGAAGCACATGCGATTACATACAAATGAGAAACCTTTTAGTTGTAAAGTTTGTCGGAAGGCATTCACAGTGAACTATCATCTAGTTGAGCACATGCATGTACATTCACAGGAGAAGCCTTTTTCATGTGATGTATGCACTAAAGCATTTGCTAGGAAAGATGATTTAACAAGACACATAAAAATACATACACATGGGAAACCTTATACTTGCAGTGTATGTAGTAAATCATTCTCACGGAAATACGGTCTAGTGGTGCACATGAGGTTACATACAAAGGAAAAACCTTACAGTTGTGCCACATGTAACAAGGCATTTTCAGATAAACGTAATCTAGTGCAGCACATGAAAGTACATGCAAAGGAAAGAGCCATATAATTGTGAAATATTAAGAGAACTTTGTCTTTCAACAACTCTATGGTGAACCTCACAAAATCATTCAAATATTTAAAGCCACTTTTAATGGGAGAAAATATCACAAGTGGTACATATGACCTTACATTCTCAATTCTTTGAAGGAGGTTGGTTGGGATACATATATTACAGTGACAGAGGGCATGCCATATCCTTTTTTACTTCTGTAAACACATGATTTTGAACATGGGTCTTTGTTCTTTAAGTCAACCACAAGGAAAATTAAGAACTCTGTATTGAGAGAAATGTATAGGGAATATGATATATGAATGGCAATAAAGATTGTTGATAAATCCATTATGAACATGATTATTGCCTTTTTATAACCTTATTATATTTTTAGTAATTCTATTCCGACGTTTTACTGATTTCACTTTTTTTTTTTTTTAGAGTATTCATATATGCTTTCCACTATTAACTCAGCATGTATATATATGTCTTCATTTATCGTACTATACATGGAAAGTTTTGGGAGAGTGTGTTATTTACCTAACAGGACCTTGGAGTCTCCCCTGCTGAGTTATAATTGGTATGTGGAGGTCGTGCCAGTTGTTAATGGGAAACATATCGACATGTTTTTCTCGGTTAACAGCTGTTCCCTCCTTAAATAATGGCAAATTGGAATGGTTCTTTACTTGAAGGTATATTACTTGAATGGTCTACAAGCTCAGTCTTGCCAGATTATACATGATTTTTAAAAGCTAATTATAACATTATCCTTCATTTGTTTGAAAGTTTAACTTAATGCTGCCAAGTACATGCAATGTTCATTATAATATTATTTTGTGAATTGTCTTTACATGTAAATAGTTCTACAAATGCTTAGTCACCAAGGAGTACTCATCTGCTTTCCTCTTTGAGTTTTTTTGGGAAAAAAATGTTATATATTCATACTGTTATCATCATTACTGAAATTGTGATTGTCATATAGCTCTTAATCCACAGCTCTTAATTGTCAAACTAAAATCATAGTGGACATGGCATGTAAGTTCATGCCATTTCTATTGGCACTGGGCTAAGAATCAGGAATGAGTGACAGAGTGAATGTGCAGTACAAGTATAGTGTATACTGTGTCACTATGAAATAATTCTCTCATACTGTTTTGTACTTTTTGTAATAAAATACTATATACATTTTTTTATCACCCTTTTATCTATTTTTTCCCTTTAGCATTGGTATCCTTTCTGTTATGACTTTCTCTCTTCCACAGCCATGCTTGTAATTAGTGAGTGACCAACTTCCATCATGGATGACTTTGGTTTGGATACAAATATACTTGACAACAAAATGGAATGCATTGCTGTTAAGAAAGAAAACACAGAAGAGGAATTCCAGAATGTAAAGGAAGAAATTGTTGACAGTGTAGATGTAAAAAGTACCATATATACAAAAAATAAAGCTGAAAGTCCAGTGACCAAAGTCAGAAGTCTAAGTGAGAAAGCATTTGAGAATACTTCAGAAGTTATGGAGGATTGTGATGAAGAAACTGCTATATATATAAAGACTGAAGATGAATGTCTAGTATCGGAAGTTGAAGGTCTTGGAGAAAAAGTAGTTGAAGCTGACTCCGTAGAAACTATTGGGCATTTTGATGAAAGGAATGCTATTTTTCTGAAGGAGGAAGATGCAAAAGATGGAAATCCAATGTCTGAAAAATCCAAAAGTCTTAATGAAGAAGCAGCTGAAAATTGCTCAGATACTTTTAAGTGTGATGATGAAGATCCGTTGTTATCAGACTCAATTGTGGCAGAGGATATGTGTTCCTCTGATGATGGTCAGCTTGTACAAGTGCGTAAGAATGTGGATGCAAAAGGGAAACATTTGTTTTGTGACCAGTGTGGTAAGAGGTTCCCTTTTATGAGTAAGCTTTTGCGTCATATAAGGGTACATACAAATGAGAAACCTTATGACAGTGAAGTATGCAAGCAAATATTATCTAATAAAAATAGTGCCTTGAAAAACATGGATGCACATACTAAAGATCATTTCACGTGTGAAGTATGTATTAAATCATTCTCTTCAAAAGATGATATAATGATGCACATGAGAACACACAGAAAGGTAAAACCTTATACATGTGAGGTATGCAGTAAAGTAGTATCTGGAAAAACCGCTTACACAGCAACCCTCATAGGCACATGAGAGTACACACAAAGGAGAAACCTTATAGCTGTGAGGTTTGCAGGAAGGCATTCTCTCAGAAAGCCCATGTAGAATCCCATATGCGTACTCATCTGAGAGTTAAACCTTTTAACTGTGAGGTATGCAAAAAGCCATTCTCGTGTAAAAGTAGTCTAAGCAAGCACATGAGATTACATACAAATGAGAAACCTTTTAGTTGTAAAGTTTGTAGGAAGGTATTTACAATGTACAATCATTTAGTTGAGCATATGCATGTACATTCAAAGGAGAAGCCTTTTTCTTGTGATGTATGTACAACGGCATTTGCTAGGAAAGATGATTTAACAAGACACATGAGAATACATACACATGTGAAGCCTTATACTTGCAGTGTATGTAGTAAATCATTCTTATGGAAACACAATCTAGTGGTCCACATGAGGTTACATACAAAGGAAAAACCTTACAGTTGTGCTACATGTAATAAGGGTTTCTCAGAGAAATGTAAACTAGTGAGGCACATGATAGTACATGCAAAAGACAGAGCCTTGTAATTGTGAAATCTGTAACAATACTTTCAACTACCATGTGCTGAATCTCACAAAATCACAAATATATAAAGCCATATTTTAATGAGAGCTGTATTAGAGCATTTTCACAGAAAATAGTGTTATTGGTGCATATGACCTTACATTCTCAATCTTTTGAAGAAGAAGAATGTATGGGATATGTACATTACAGTGACAGAGCTTATGGATTTTAGTACCAGCTGCATCAGAACCTAGCCATGTCCTCTTTTCCTTCTGTAAACAGTCTTTGATCCTTAAATCAACCACAAGGGAAGCTGTAAAGTACTCTCTTTATATTGAGTAAAGTACAGGGAAAGTGATATATTTGAACAGCATAAGAACATTTTGATAAATCCATTATGAACATTATCATGTCTTTTGATAACCTTTCTATTATATTTTTTGTAATAATTTTACTCTGACATAATACTGATTTTACAAATTGATTGTTCTTTTAGTATATTCATATATGCTTTTTACTATTAATGCAGTATGTTTATAAATATCTACATTAACCCTGATACAACTGGAAAGTTTTAGAAAAGTGTGTTTACCTGACAAGCCCTTGGAGCCACCCCTCTAGCCTGACTGCTGAATAACGATACATTTTCCCACTTAGTCAACCCTTACCCTGTATCTTTTGCAGTAGAGTACACAGATCAGCCACATCTAAGAGGTCTCCCATTCACACTGCTATCTTGCCTAATTGATTTATACCACCATGTGAAAGTCCTCCATATATGCAATACATCTCTTGTGACTACTGTAAGAGTATTGATTTGATTTCTATAGCAAATATATACATTCACAGTACTAATAGTTTCATTTGTGCGTTCTGCCTTGGGGTCCCCAAGTAAAATGTAACAACATAAGCAAAGTCTTCTTTTGATTTTACCCTTAGGCATGGCTCTATTCACCATGTTTGCATTGATGCTAAAATTCGTCTGCTATACAACCATGGAGTGCTACATACAGGTGTGGTCTGTTGCTATATTATTGAGCTAATTTACAGTATTGTTTTGTATGTATAAGAAACAAAAACATCACCCGCAGTGCGACTGGAAATAAACCCCTATAAATGATGTTTGTACTGAATACGAGCTTCTGTATTCTTCCTCAGGACTGTCTCTCTACATGTCTTTATTTACTGGCACATCTGCCTGACTTTTTTTTCCTCACAAATATTTGGTTAGGCAACTTCACCTTTTTGCTCATGTAAGAAACGTTCTTTTTCGATCCAAGAAATGCTAAAGACGAAGAATCGCCAGTTTGGCCCATGATACTCGCATGTATTTTACTTGTTTTGAAATAAAAATACTTCATGGGCAACAAGTTAATCCCGAAAAATTGTTAATTGGGAGTATTTGCAAATTTGTTTATTCAGAAGCTTTATTTAAAATAAAAACTAAGATGAGATGAAAGGTAAAGTGCGGGAATATCAGCAATTTCACCCTGAATCCAGGAAAATAAGTCAACAAGCAAAGGAATCGCTCCAGGTATCAACATCAAAGGGTAAATTGTATCTGCCATGAACGCCTCAAACACTCGGTCTACTTTTCCTGTTTTACAATTTTACTTCAACGAAATTGTTTATATGAATGAATTCGCGCTCTGTACCTGTGTTTGCCATATAAAGATTTGACAACTGTGCCAAAGCAATGCTTGTCATAGTGTAAAGAAAGAAATGGTAAAAATGTTTTTATTTTCAGTAAGTAAAACTATCCATGATGTGTAGATAATTATTATATTTAGATTATTATTATTGACATTATCATAATCATGATCATATATCATTAATATCATCTACATGGAAAACAAAAGACACTGGTCCATTTTAGTATTTGTGGAGCTTTATTATGCGAAGGATCACTTGCTGCCCATAAACAAGTTTTCAAATTCTTACGAGCACTACGATAAATGTCATATAAAGAAATTCAAACGATTGATTATCCCCTATCTATCAATGTTGCCTTTGACGTCAATTGCACTTTGTTCAGTTCATTCCTTTGAGCCACAAAATCGACATTATGCCTTTCTGCACAATCTTATTTAATTTTCCCGCACAATTCATTATAAAAGAAAGACAATGTCTTGCCTGTTGGTGCCAAGGGGATGCCCTGACCAATGTGGGGATGACCCCTGCCTTGGGCCTCAATCCCGTGCCTCAACCAATTTTGCATGGCCTTTATTTTTCCTTGTCTTCCCAAACCCTTTCCCTGCCCAATTCGTAAGGTGTGAGAGCCATATTGAAAGAATGAAAGGCTGACTCTGTGCCAGTCATGAACAATGGACCTATTATCTTCCCCACGTGTTCCAGGCTTACCATGGCCAGTAATGAACATTTTTTTTACCCTTATTAGGGGCACTGAGGCTTGCCCCTTTATCGGATATCTAAATCGAACTCCTCTGGTTTACCGACCCCAGATTCTCTTGATCACGGCTCAGACCATTGCTACTACAACCCCCTCCTCGACACTTGCTGTCCACGTAACCCATACTGAATCATCTACCCAAGTAACTTGACCTCCAAGACACCCCTCCCTTAACCCAAAATCCTTGACTTCCATCTCCTGCACAATCGTCTCCAACTCTTACATCTTCCTCCTTTACAACTCTTCAACCTCAAATATACCCTCTCCATCACAGCACTTCATCACTCCACACCACTTCCTCTTCTTGTCGTCCCTTTCCTTCTACATACCCACCTCTATAAACCTTTTGAGTATTTATCCAAGTGGGATCAATTCTTTGTGATTCTCCCAATAGCCCCGTACTCTGACAATACCCTCCTTACCCAACAATGACCTCAAAACAAGTAGGCAAAGTCTCCTTCTGCAGCCTTCCCGATCGTTTTGCTTTGTCAGTTACATATTAGTCCCAAGCCCACACACCATCTATCCTGGTTAACCTCTCTGGTAAACCTATTGCTGCCCAACCCCACTTTTCCCTGAATCAATCCTTATATTGTATTATTTCCATATCTCCAGCAGATTGCCCTATGGCAAGGATTAATCAGACTGTGAAGAAGACCTATTTGCCTGCCTTACTGACTATGGTGCAGTAGCAGTACAGTTCTACACTATTCCCCCTAGAGGCCAGTCGTAAGGCCCACACCTGTATTGCCAAGATTACCTGCCGTAGACATGGCCTTTCTCATTATTATTATTATTATTATTATTATTATTATTATTATTATTATTATTATTATTAATAATAATATTGTTCATTATTAATATTATAGTAAGCTATATAAAGAGTCGCACTGAAAAAATCGAGATTTATACCATCATAGGTATCAGTGCAGGTCAAGATACAGCTAAGAAAGAATGAAAAGTCAGCTATTTACGTAAGAAAAACATGTTAGCTGAGCTTTTACACTTATCAAGAGTGGGAGAAGTTACAAGGTCATAAGGTCTATACCAGTGGAGATTTTTGCCAATGTCAGAAATGGTGCCGTTTTGGCCACTCTGCAAAGCAATGTCGCTCCACAGCTCGCTACTCTCTGCATGCCCAGCCAGGCCATGGCCTTTCAAATTGCCTGCACATTTATTTACTGTTACAGACATTTCCAACTGGTACACCACGAGTCTGGAGGTAACACATTTTATGTGGTTATACATGAATAGTATGAAGTATTCCGTGAAGGAGAGACGTACGCCTGTAACGATGAATGATTGGTTGAAATCCAAATGAAAAAATATCAGTTTGTCATAATCATTCAAATCACAAAAAACTTAGGAATATTGTCTCTGAAAAACAATATTTCATAGATTTGACAAATGCGCCAAAGCAATGTTGCCACCTACAGTGTAATGAATGAAACAGTAAACATGTTTTTATATTCAGTAAGTAAAACTATTCATGATGTGTAGATAATTATGATATTTAGATTATAAAAGTAAACAATAGAATTTACGAAAGGCACAAACTGATTTTTATTTAATGTGAAAAATCTAAACATATCGTTTATCCGGTCTCAAAGTTTATCACACACACACACACACACACACACACACACACACACACACACACCACACACACACACACACACACACACCACACACACACACACACACACACGCACACAACACACACACACACATACACATATACATATACATATACATATACATATACATATACATATACATACACACACACACACACACACACACACACACATATATATATATATATATATATATATATATATATATATATATATGTGTGTGTTTATATATATGTATTCGTGTTTAAAAAATGTGTATATATGAATATATGAATATATTTTCATATATTGATATTCATATCTATGTAAACATACATACTTATAATCTGATATTACTGTTCATTTGAAGGATTCGTCTGCCTTTCAGACCTCAGGTTGGCACTGCAAGGTTTCCACTACTTAGTTTGTGTGTTTTTATAATTGGAAAATATCATAGCAGTCTAAATAGTCATTTTGAGAAAATTTCAAAGAGTTTGAGTAGCCATAGTGTTTCTCCCTTCTTCTTAGCCATTGTTGCTTGTTTTGTAATCTTCAATGACGCTTGGTTATTCAGGACGTTCCTTCTCTATATATATTTCGCACTAGAGAGAGAGAGAGAGAGAGAGAGAGAGAGAGAGAGAGAGAGAGAGAGAGAGAGAGAGAGAGAGAGAGAGAAGAGAGAGAGAGAGAGAGAGAGAGAGAGAGAGAGAGAGAGAGAGAGAGGAGGAGAGAGGAGAGAGGGAGAAGAGAGAGAGGAGAGAGGGAGAGAGAGAGAGAGAAGAGAGAGAGAGAGGAGAGAGAGAGAGAGAGAGAGAGAGAGAGAGAGAGAGAGAGAGAGAGAGAGAGAGAGAGAGAGAGAGAGAAATGGATACATAAGAATGTTTTTGTGTTATAATTTTTGAAACATGAATGTCGACTTGGGCTTCATGAAGTCCCCCTTAACGCTCTTGGAAAAGGACTTGGTAGTAAGGGAGGCGAGGAGGCACTCCAGACGTCAACGTAAGAGGTTCGGGCAGAGCAGGTGAATGAAAGGGGTCTTTTCTGGAGGGTTTATTGGGGAGGTAGATGTGTGACCCCACGAGAGACCCATGCCCCAGGTGCCAAGGGCGAGGTGGTGATGAGCGAGGCCGTCCTCTGTCCTTATCTCTGCTCTCCTTTGCTTTTTTATTCTGCCGAGTCCGTCCTTTTCGCCGCTGCTCCATGCGAGGGCGTGTGCTTGGCTTCGTCGCAGAAGTGTCAATAGAGAAAGTAGTGTAAACACCTGGGAGCTGCGAAAGACACAGTGGTCTAATTGAATATGCTAGACCAAAGTACGTCAAAGTCACCGAGTAATGAGTTGGCTGCATATTTTGTACGATAAGTTTAGAATCTCAGATTTTATACAGCTTGCTTATTTCTTAATATATTCGAGAAGCTTTCATCAACTGTGAAATCATGAACTTGAAGGCCTACTAACCATAATTGTAATGACATTTATAATTATATATATATATATATATATATATATATATATATATATGTATGTATGTATATATATATAAATTTACAATAATATATTAAGATAAGACCCATCCTTCCCCCAAAGTTTGCTTACATCATACGAACACAAGATTAAGGTGAACTAACACAATAATAACAATAATATTGTAATAATTGTAGAAAAGAGACTACACTAGTATTAACACAATTATATAGATTGCATAACAGTACGTAAATGCTGCTTTTGAATCCCTATTTTAAACAAGTGAAACACCAGTTTTGTTCTTTGATAGTTTGACTTGGACAAACCTTTAGCGAATCAAAAAAATACTATGCACCTTACAAATATCGTCATCATCATCATCATCATGGACCAAACGCTGACGGGGGTGCATAGCTGCATCCACCTTTGTTTGTACCTTTGAGCTCCTAACTATGTAATCCACTATCTTTGTATAACCAAAAACGTTTGTTTCCTTTAAACTGATGTGCTATACAAAAATTTACTCTAAGAAGGGCTATCAAGTCCTCTGCACTTATCATACACATTCTTTTATATCGTGAAAGTATACATACTGCGATATCAATGTAATCTGCATAAAGTGCCGTAAAACT